GGTCCTGAGGCTGAGGGCCTTCCCAGTGCCTCTCATGGGCTGGAAAAGTTGGGAGTTCTTAGCAAGCCCTTCACCAGGCACTGTTTCTCTGCAGTGAGGGCAGGATTAGTGCAGGATAAGGGCACTGACCTACTGCTCTCTATTTTGGTGTGTTCTCTTTGCTCAGCCTGGCTTAGCCCATCTGGTGCTTCACTGCCCCTGCTCATCCTTACCAGCACAGCAGGGCTCTGGGGCTCTGCTGGGCTCTCACGGGAGCATCTCTCCTACCTGACTGCACCACATCTGCCCTCTACAGACCCAGAGGTGGGATTTTTTAACCCCTCTTCCCCTTCTCCTCTGTCTGCTGCCCTGCCCAAAGGATGAGCAAAGCCAAATTCCATTCCTGAAGCATTCCTGAGCCTCCTGCCAGCTCCACTAGCCAAACCAAATGTCTGAACTGGCCCTAAGGGAGCGGGATGAGCCATTTTGTGGCAGCTGTAAAAGGTCACACAGTAAACACCAGCACTGCTGCTCAGCTGCTGTCCCAGTGATCCAGGCACTCTGGATGTGAGCATGGTTTGCACAGGAGCAAGTGGTTCAAAGCTCTCTCCTGCCTCTGCCGGGTTCAGGTTACAAACTAGAGAATTAGCAACACTTGGTTGATTAATTTGGGTTTGTTCCATCTAGTTTGAGACTGGTTATTCTAATTGAGATAGGTCTCAAGACCTGTAACACTTGAAAACCTTTGTCTTAAAATGCACATTCTGTCTTTCTGCATAAATCCACACAAGGCCCAGGGCTTTTGGGGCTTGCTTTGTTCATTTATAAATATGGGGGCATTTCAGGAGATTATAAATATCTAAAAGCCTACAGTTGTTTCACAGTCAGGGATGTACTAGAAATCTTCCCACCTGGCTTCTCCTAAGAACAAAACCAAGCAGTTTCCATTGCTGTGCTTAGTTTTCTTATTATGAGTAGTTGTTACCATTATTATTAAGGTAACAATTGTTCCACGGGGAAAGAAGACTGTTTTGGTTTAATAGTCTGGGGCTTGTTTTCCAGGTTATTCAGCACTTTATAAGTACTCTGGAACTGCAGTTTCCCTTGTCTGCATATCCATGGGATAACAGGCAGGTGCCTTGCACGTTGCACGCAGAATATAAAGGATGTACAATGAATTGGCAACTGGATTAAATTTGTTGAGAATGACATGGGAAATCTGGCAGTGTCAGGGAGAAAAATCTCTTCTCATGTAAATGCGCATATAAATTCCTTAATTATGCTTTAGTGATTATATATGAGAAATGTTTTATATTTTAAGTGGGGTTGTGGGGCAGAAATATATTGGGCAAAATATTCTATTTAGTGTGTGGCGCAGTATAGTGAATATTTTTTTGCTTTTTACCATAATATGTCCTCATATTACACCACATAATGTGTTTTAATCCTAACTTTTATATCCATGGCCTTTAGTTGTTATAAAACTTCTGAGCTCTTATCCAGCACTTGGCATTTATGGATTCTTTCTTCCACCTTGGTGCCTTAAATTCATCTTCAGCTGGATTAGGAGGACTCCTAATGTCCTTCTTCCCACTGCAGATGCTCATCCCAAACCAGCCAAGCTCGTACTTTGGACAGTGCCAGATTTCTGAGTCACTCCAAGGTTTTAAAAGAATTCAAGTTTATAATGGTGCCTTGGAAAATATGACATCACTGGGAGTTTCTCACAGAAGTTTCCTGTTCTGAGACCATCCAGCAGACCAATGCCTGTACAGTTCCCACCATGCCAACTTTGGATCAACCGAACTCTTCAAATTCTTCCTTGCCACCAAATCCCAGAACTGCTCAGGCCTGCAGAGCAAAGGGTGGAAAAGTGGAGGGCAAACAGGAAACAGATGTAGAAAACATCTTCAGGAATGTCACTTCTTATCAGTGCATGGAATGAGGCAGAGTTCCTGTGTGAGACAGCGTAGAACTGAACCTACAACAAACCCACCGTGCCGTGGCGATCTGGGTTATAGGACACTCCAACTCCATCAAAGAGCTTTGGCCCTGTCTGTTTGTCAAACAGAGGAGCAGCTGAGTACAAAATGAATAACAACTGAAGTGGTTGTTGCACTAGAATTATCCATTGGGCAGCCAGTTCTGAGAGGAATTAGCTTTTAAAATGCTTTACAACATGTAACATCATCAAAAAAAACCCCAAGACTTGAGGTATCTTTTCTTCCTCCTCGGAATCCTTGAGTCAGATCTTACTCCCCTGTCCCCCTACCTGGCTACTAATTCCTTTAACAAAGGTAAGAGGAACAGTGAGGAGTTACGTGCCAGGCACTGGCAGTAGGTCAGGAGTCGAATTATGGAAAAACCCCCCAGTTCTTCATGTATTTTCCAGTATGGTCCTTTTGAACCTCCCTTTGCAGATGGCAGCGTGGGAGGAAAACTTGGAATTCCATAATACAGTCCTGGTATCTAAAACCCCTCTGCAAAAGGAAGTGACTGCAGGAAACAGAGTAGGGCAGAGTTATAGATTGGTCTTCAGTTGGAACCTTTACTGGGTTTTGAGCTGCTCAGAGTAGGAAGCAGTGCTCACTCTTTCCTGTGTGGTGAAAGATTTTTCTGTGGACCCTCCATTTCACCAATGTGGTAATTTGAACATGAACACCATGAGGTAATTTTCCCAGGAGAACAAGAGGCTGTAAACTTATCCCTGTTCACTAAACACATTATTATTGGGCCTTAGTATTGTGTTCTCTTCTAATTTACCTTTACGAACCGTAGCTCAAAGCAGCCCTGATTAATGGTTCCCAGCAAATGATAGGGAACAGTAAATTCCCCAGGGCTTTTAATGCGATTAAAGACTTTCAGTGAGCAAATAAACAGCAGAGGAGAATTTATTAACTACTGTCTAAGGGAAAAAATCCTGTGCCACTGGGATACAGTAGAGCAGGAACTCAGTGACCAATCAGTTCCCTATAACATATGGGCATGACAGACAGTGTTTGAGCTGACAAACTGCTTCCAGGCAGCCATTTCCAGACCTTTTCCCATCAAAGATCTGGGTGAGCAGACCAGTTCCACATTAGGAGGGGTCATCAAAATCATTCAGCTTCCAGAGACAAATAAGCCACTCACCTTAATCAAGTTGTACCTGTGACATGAGCTTTCCTCTGGCTGGCATTCCTCACCCCTTTTTTTACTTGGAGGTAGAAAAAGAGATCAGTTAGCTAATCCCCATGTTAATCTGCAAGATAAAAATTCAACTAACTACCAAGTGTTATCCTTCAGACTACGGTTTTGACACCATTAATATTATTTTTGTCCTTTTCCACTTGGAACGGAAAAGCAGTAGAAATTGTGATTGTCTCCAAATCCCCTTATGAGAACTCTGTGATATCAAAAGCCAGCAGACACATGATACATGTGATATACAAGCCCAGCACACCTCAGGTGGGTACAGCAGAGCTCAGGGAGTTCTTTCCGCTTGAATTCTAATAATTAAATGTGCTTCACAGGAGCTGTGAGTGTTCTGACACTTTGGCTTTTTGAGGCAGAGCACAGATCCGTGCACTGACACAGTAAACTCACTGCCAGCTCCGTTTTTACTGTGAAAACGTACATGTCATTTCAGGTTAATTTTCGGGTTTCTGTACCCCGGCTACTTAAGCTCCTCATTAGCATGTCAATCCTTGTTTAGACTGTGCTATTCATCAAGTGTAGGCAAGGATTATTGCTTCCCCACTTAACTGGGCCTGATGGATTAGATACTAAAAACCAGACTGAATGTTGTTAAGCAGTACTTTCATGCTCGACACTCTTTAATATGTAAAACACTAAGCACACAGACAAAACCATAAGCTGCCATTTGTAGATGCTAAAAAGTCCACAGCATCTTCCCCCTCCACAGCCTGTGACCTGCACACTTTCATTTATTACACCTGCCTGTTGCCTAAGTACCTGTTAACTTTTTTAACAAATCTTACAAGCAACATGAAATTAGAATCACGGAATGTCCTGAGATAGAAAGCACCTACAGGGATCATCGAGCCCAAGTCCTGGCCCTGCACAGGACACCCAAAGAATCACACCAATAAGATTTAATCTCCATGTTGATGAATGGGGCTGTGCCCAAGAGGCACAGACATCTTGGGGAGCTACAGAATTCATGAGTGCAACAGTACCAGAACCAGCACAGCCAGGGGGGCATTAATGGTAACATTTTTTGTCTTGTTTCCCCAGTAATAGTTAATAATAGCTTTACAGTTACAAGTCATTTTTGTCAATAGACCTGACAAACATCAACTTTACTCTAAAAAAGGAATTTCTTTAGCTAGGACAACACTGAAATACCCCACTAAAACTATTTTTTGCTAATATCACAGAATATTGTACCTATACCTAATAACCCCTGGGACCCTGTTTCACCTTCCTCACTGTGCACCCATCTCTTGCCTCCTGTTTAAACTTCACCCACCACCATGTCCCACAGTGGGATTAATGGGGAGACAGTGAGTTTCCACTGTCTGGAATCCACAGGCTGCAATCAATGCATTCCCATAAAAGAACTGCTCTCCTCCACATGGATGTGCAGGAATGTTTGGGAGAAGCAATGGCAATGCACACTGCCTTGGATGAAGGGAGCAGTTCATGCTTCTGAGGTTGCTCCAAGTTCTGCAGAGACCAGCAGCATTACATCAGTCTCAGAGAAGGTATTCCATGCTCCCACAAGACCTGGATCAGCCAAAGAGCTCACCATGAAGGGTAACAGCATGGATGCCTGCAAAGGAAGCAAGTGCTGCCTGACATGGTTGGAAAACCACTGCAGCAACGCTATTTGCACAGCTTATTAGACAACTAAGAGAAATCCCCACTGGGCCTAAGCTGTAATTTGGAATCTGCTTGGCAGAGAATGGTTTTAGACACTGAAAAGGTTTCCTCAGAATGCCTCATATCTCCAACAACCACAATTAACAACAGAAGGCTCCAAAATCCAAACCCAAACCCAAAATGAAACATATGGCATGTAAGTCTTTACAAACAAACCCTTTATTAAGAACAAAATCATACAACTTGTAGGAAGTTCCCTAAGGGCATGATATATTACAGATCTGTACTGGTACTAAGGAACCAAAATGGCAAACAGGCTGGGGAATTTGGGAGAGGAAGTCCCTGGAAAGACTTCACTGTACTCCCACCACTACCAGCCGGCCCTACTCTGGTCCCCGTAGCCTCCCCGGTACCCCCCTCCTCCCCCTCCTCTATAGCCGCCCCCAACTCCATAGGGGCTCCCTGGGTATCCTCGTGCTCTGGAGCGCCAGCCGGAGTATCCGGAGTATCCGTACCCCCCGTACCCTCGGCCCCTGGGGGGGCCTCCCCAGCCCCTGGAGCCGCCGTTGTCGTAGCGAGTCATCTTGGGGGGGCGGGGGCCGTCCCCAAACCTGCAACGACAAACAGCAGAGCCTTGAGACAGCCTCACAAATCCCGCTTCCTAAAGGCTGCAGGAACTGCCAAGATCCTCAGCTGAGCCAGGTCTGGTTTCTGTAACAGAACAGTGTTGGAACCACACCTTTTCCACTTCAGAAGCTTTCCTCTGCTTCAGAAGCAAGGCATGAAAACAAGGGGCGATGGAGGGGTGCAAGCCCGGCCAAATATTTATTTCCACAAATACGTTTGCCCAAAATAAATCTGGATTATCTTTTCTTTAAAAAGTCACAGTGTTTTGCAAAGAGGTGATGACAAGCTTTTATTGCTGAGATTCATGTGTCCTTCCTGTGGAAACAGGCGGTGCTCTGTCCCCACCAGGCTTTGCAGGGAGCGTTCCACACATCCAGGAGCCAAAGCCCGCGGCTCCTGCGCCGCCCCCGGGCTCACCTTGTGTTGGCAGCCAGGAGGGCCATGCCCGCAGCCGCCGGCCTGGAGAGCTGCCGGATCACGGTCAGCATGCGCTCGTGTGCCGGGTCCAGCTGCCGGAGGATGCCGGGATCTTTGGTCACCTCCACCACCAGGGCCTCCACGGCGGCGCGCAGGGCCGTGATGCAGGCGGCCGGCGTGTGCGGCATCCGCAGCTTGATCCTGCAGCACAGAGGAGGGTCAGAGCCACCCCCACTGCCGGGCACCAAGATAGCCCGGGGAGCGGCTCCTCCTTGAGCCACAAACCTCCAGGCTCATCTCTGAAGTTCTAATTTGGGGCAGATTGGCCCCAGTGAAGGGCCAGATTCGAAAGATCCCTAAAATTTGACATTGCTAAAATGTAACTATTCTTCTGTCGAAATTTGCTCTTGAATTAAAACAAAGGGCCATGGAGATGCTCCAAGGGCTGGAGCCCCTCTGCTCTGGAAACAGGCTGGGAGAGCTGGAGTTTCTGGAACTCCAGGGAGACCTTAGAGCCCCTTCCAGTGCCTAAATAGGGCTTATAAAAAGGAGGGAGAGGGATTTTTTTATGCGGGCAGATAGTTACAGGACAAGGTGTAATGGTATCAAACTGCCAGAGGGCAGGGTTACATGGGATATTGGAAGAAATCCTTCCCTGTGAGGGCGAGGAGGCCCTGGCACAGGTTGCCCAGAGAAGCTGTGGCTGCCCCATCCTTAGAAGTGTCCAAGGCCAGGTTGGATGGGGCTTGGAGCAACCTGGGATAGTGGAAGGTGTCCACCTGAGATGAGCTTTAAAGTCCCTTCCAACCCAAACCATTCTGGGACTCTGTCATTCTATGCTCAGATAATATCAATATGTAACTTCTTGCATCAAAACAGAAAGATACAAAAATAAAAAGTGAACTAAGAACACGAGGCTCCAAGATTTTGAAAGCTCCAGGCCACCCTCAAAAATGCTAGTGAATTAAGGTTAAGCATTTCTTTGCCTCCATTTTACCAACCAGGGGGAAAAAATGAAAGAACAAAAAGACACCCAGATGGTATTTGGTCATGGCCACAAAATTTACACTGCCAGAGGCAATCACTGCTCTCCTCAAGCTGTTTCCAAGACTTGAAAACAAGGTTTCCTCAGCCTCTGTCTGAAGTGGAGGCCCAAAACTCCTACTACCTCTTGCTCACCTTCTAGTTAAAGAGGAAAAATCCAGCAGTTTTTACGGAAACTGCCTGGTGTCCTGTTTTCAGCTGAAGCAGATAATCTGCATGGAACAGAGCTCCAATAAACCCCTCCCTTCCTCACAGGAAACAAAGGTGATGCCTTCCCAACACACCTGTGGTGCAGGGCCCCGCTCTGGGGTCCCTGTTCTAGGGATATTTGTGTCCACAGAACTGACACTCCCCCTCAGTCAGGGGGCTTGGAACTGGATGGGCTTTAAGGTCCCTTCCAACCCAAACCATTCCATGATTCCATGATTCTGAGCACCAAGGGGGTCCATACCAGTCATCCACCAGAATGAGCTCCCCATCTGACAGGACTTTCTTGGAGGCAAAGAGGAGCAGCTGCAGTGGGCTCACCAAGGTCATGGTTTTGGCAGAGATGGCTCGTGTTCGAATCTGCAGGTGAGAGAGGAAAACAACTCTTGGAATGGAAAACAGATCCTTACCTTCCCCTGGACACTGAAACTGGAGAGTTTTGTGAAAAAAAACCACCCAACACCACATGAAAAAAATCTAGGTAAAATGTTAGGAGATTACAAGAGCAAGTGCACAAACAAAATTTAATGCCAGGCTGATGTTTGGAGTGTTTCTGTACTGGCTGGTGTAAAAAAACCCCATCAAAACCCAACAGCTATTTAGAAATACTCATCTTCTGTGTCTGCAGTTATGCAGCTGGGGTTTAGCAAGAGCCATCTCATGCTGTGCCAGCCTAAAAATGACCAAGGCACAGCTGAATTATCTTCCCACCTTTTGCATTGCTGGGGCTGTGATGAAAAGCTGCTTCAGTAGAGTCCTACTCGTGCAAGTGTGCCAGCCTGCTTTCTCATTTTATAGAAACGAGACCTTAAGCTTGAACTCGAAGTGAGCACTTGGATTTCTGACCTGAGCCAGAGATAACAGCCCTGACTACCCAGATCCTGCCCCTCACTTTAAAGAGGAACAGAAGAGCAGCACTTTAGATTTCAGCCTCCCACCCTGACAGCTCCTCTCTCCCTCCTTCTTTCACACAGCAGAATTTGTTGTACTTGTTTGTCCTCAGGGAGAAGATCTGCTCCTACCTGGAAGTTACCACACACACTCAAAAGAGAGAAACTTCCAGAATAAAAACTGTGGCCAGGAAATGGCCGGTGCAGAGCCCTGAAGCTCCTGGTGAGACAGAGGACGCCATGTGCAGCAGCAAATGAACAACCACACCTCAGAGAGGAACCTCCCTTCAGCAGGTACCTCCTGGGCAGGGAGAGAGCTGCACACAAACCCTTCCTGCCCCCCAGCCTCACCCAGCTGCTGCCGTAGCCACTGCTCAGCCACCATCTTAGTCACCCCTCGTTTGCCATGTGTATGTTGGTTTAATAAAGCAAAGCTTTTTGAGCTCAAAAGTCTTTTAGTGTTTTCAGAGAAGCTCAATTTAGAGAGATGGTAGAGGGGGACTGAAGGTCTGACCCTCCTGGGATCCTGACACAGAGAGTGAAGAGGGGCAAAGCCTCACCACAGCTCTGAACTATGGATGTGAGAATCCAGATTATCAAGGCAAGATCCCAGCCAGTGCCCAACGGGTTTAAAATTTAATTTATTACCAAACATAAAAGCATTGCCTTTGTTTGCTCCTACAAATACGGGTAAGCAGGAGCAGCTGAGTTCATGGAGGCCATCACTGGAGCACAGGAGATCTCACAGGGCTTCCAGAGACATGTAGGTACGTGCTGAGTACACCAGATCCAGGGGATGGAGGAGCACATCCCGGGGACCCTGGGGAAAGCATCCTGGGGTTCTTAAGAGATGCTTGGGAAATGGGAATTGCCCTCGGCAGATGACAAACTACCTTCAGGCTGAAACAGGAGCACCCCACTGCCATATTCCATGCCCCTCTTTTCTCCCTGGATTCATAAGTAGCTGAAGTGATAAGGGTAAAAATTCTCTGGTGCCTGATGAGCAAGGAAGAGCTCCCAAAACAAACTCTGAAAGAAGATAATCGTTTAGATTCCTCTTGTGATCTGTCTGTTGTCACAAAACTCACAGGAACTTTCTACTGAATGTGGTTGACTTGAAGCTCCTGGGAGGCTGAGTGACACCAGGACCACATAAAGTTCACTTTCTGGAAAGCAAACCAACCAACAAACAGCCCCTCCCCAAAAAACAAGCTAAATATTGCACAGTCAGGTTTTTTCCTTATGGCTTCTTTACCAAGAAGAGCCTCTTGAACAATCTGGCAGCACGTGATCAAGAACAAACCCAAAAGCTTTACCTTTTCTCCAAAAACGAAGAAGGGTGATGGATACTTGATGTCCTGGCTGCTGAAAGGGCAGTTGACAGATGATTTGTGGATGAGAGCGTTGTGCCCCTCCGTGGTAAGAATTTTCCTTTTCTCCTTGTGGTAGCAGACGTTGGGGTAGACCCCAAAAGCCAGCAGGGAGATGACAACATCCAGGTTATTATCTGGGCCAGTGTTGTTGAACGGCTGAGTCATCAAACACTCTGTTGGCAGAGAACAGAGGAATGGCTCAAATCCACAGGACATCGAGGAGAGCACAGCAGAGCTGTTTAGGATCCTGGATCAGAGCGGGGTTGTTTAGGATCCTGGACCAATGCATTTTCTGATTCAGTCCACTGGTAGAGGTGCATCTGCTCCCCAATGACCTCTGCGCTCAGAGCATTTCAGCTCTACATTCAACTTTTAATTTCTTAATGGAGAGCAAAAAGCTGAAAAATACTGCTAACAAGGAGGTATTTTTCTTTCCCAAACTCTTTGTAAACAAGGAGAGAGGGGGTTGCCCAGAATGTGCTGTACCACAGTGTGTTTACTGTCATTTGTTCTGGAGACAGAACTTCAGGGGGAGGTCAGAATGGATGCTTTTATTAGTTTATTTGTTACAAACCTCCCCAGAGTCTCTGGGAGCTTGTTTTCAGGTCATCTTGCCCAGAAAGAAAGTTAAGGGTAAATGCAGCAGTGATCCAAGCAGCGTGAGGAGAAAAAAATTAAAGGAATTTAAAGAAAAAAAGAAAAAAGGAAAAGAAGGGGAGATAAACATCTACTAAATCCAACCAGACAAACCATTTCACTGAGCTCCTCAGCAACATTTGGCCAATTCAGAACCTGGTCAAGTTTAAGAATTTTATTTTTTCCTAGAAAATGGAATAATTTGGCATACTGCTGCACATCCCTCCTGCAGCAGGAGTCACAGGGAACACAACACTGTTCAGCTCACACAGACTCCCTGCTCAGGCTAAAGGAAAGGAGGGGGAAGCACAGCACGTTTTGGAGACGTAAAAGTGAAGGAGAAAGAAAACCAGGGAGGTAACACTCTAAGGACAGCTGCTTAATAGATTTTCAATCCTGCAGTCCTAACCTCAGCCTTCAAAACCAACCTGTGTTGCACCACAGCCATCACAGCTTCTCTGCTTTAAGAGACAGTACTAAAATTCCATCTAAAAGCAGAGCAGTGTTATGGCAAATCCACTAAACCCTCTGTGCTTGTGTGTTCAACACAGACTGTTCCTGCTTATTTATTTATCATCTCAGAATGAAAAATGCAAATTCTTAAATTATTGTGTCCAAGTAGAATCACCTTCAGGGAAGCCACAACTAATAAGTATGTCTTTCAGCTGGACTTTTGCTTCCCAAGTCATTCTAAGAGTGGCCATGCTGAGTCTTTTGTGCTCACAAAACCTCTTCTCTGCTTCTTCACCACCCATTCTGAAAAGCAAACAGAGGGAATTACAAGTCTGGTCAGGGAAGGGGAAAGCTCACACTGTGTTACCCACGACTCCCCCTCAGCTGCTGCACCAGACAACGTACCTTGCATCGTCCCAGGCCTGGAAGACAGAGAGCAAAGCCACGTGATCCGAGTACCTGGTCCCAGCAAAATTCCTATGGACGTAACCCAGGCGTTTGCCCTCACTGATGAAGGGCTCAGGGAAACAGGTGGCAGCAGAGATGGTACAAACAGCATCTCCCACGCTGAAAGGAGCCACAGAAGGGATCAGGGTCATTCAGTTCCTGCTGCAGGCTGCTGGTAGCAGTGCAGCTTCTCTGCTACAGACCTCAGTAATCTCGCCCTTATCTACCAGAGTTCTTCACTGAAACACTTCTCTGGAAGTGGATGTTAAATCAGGTCTATCTTCCCTCCCATCCTCCCCATCCACACACCATCTTCTTTTGGTGAAAAGGACCCTGCAGCCATCACAATGACAAAGCAAAACCTGGGGATTCATTTTAATCCTTACCTCAGTGCCGAATTCCATGTCTCCCCGCCTCTAGTTCACGGTTATACTTAAATGTTTCCAGTCCCACTCTTAATTCATAAATATTCAGGCTCCACTGATCTGTTGCAGTGAACTCTCAGTTTCATAACTACTTCGTTCCCTACACTGAAGTTATTTCTCCTCTGCTCCCATGAATATTCAGTCTACTCTCCCCAGCTGCAGCACTTATTGCTCATCTAGATATATTGTTTTTTCTCTCACACAGTGCATGTCAAGAGGCTCAGGAACTCAGAAAAACAAGAACAAGACACTGAGATGAGTACTCAACTTACTAAAAAATGCAGCCCATGATCATCATCTTGCCCAGACGAGGCTCAATGGGAAGCTTGGCCAGGATTCTTCCAAGAGGTGTCAACTCATCGTTGGAATCCAGGGCATCCAGCTCTGAAACAAGATGCCTTCTGATCAAAGGGGGTTAACTAGTCCCAGAAAGCCTTAGATAAGAAATGCAGAGTTTCTGTAAGTGTGTTTAAATAGAACCCCACCTGTACTGAAGTTTAATGTTGTTTACAATATTGCCAACCTGATTTTCAAAACTCAACTGAGGTCAGATAGATTTTACTTTAGCTTTACAGATGTTTTACTACCTCCTCCACAGTTAAAATAATCACTATTTAATTCACATACGTGTTTTTCCATTCCTTTTTTAGTTTGTTTCTGTACAAACCACCATTACATTGTTAAACTTTCTTCAAGTCCCTATATTTGATCTAATCACAGCCAACTGTGGAGTCTTCATTGCTGCTGCCAGATCACAGAATTCTCTTCCTCAAAAACAGACCACCACAAACTCTCTCTTCCATGAGGCTTTACCTGCCTTTCCCCCCTTCCATTACCTAAAAATCATCACCTGTATTCATCTTCAAAGCTATCAGGAGTTTTTTCACATTAAAAAAAAAAAAAAAAAAAAGCTTTGTAGCCTCAGAAATTAAACAGGAAAGGAAACACATAAAGGACTCCTTAGCCACCATCAAATCCATTTTTTCTTGGCACCTATTGAACCCAAAAGCCTAAAGAATACTTTGAAGAGTAACATCTCACCTTCCTGAAAATGTACTAGCAGTGTACCTGCATTGAAAAATCACAGGTCATCCAGGAGAGGGAGGCACCTGCAGAAACAGCTACTTGGTGTTAGAGCTGAAAATATTTGCCTTTTCCCCTGGCTCTGCACTTCTTATCTACACACTGAGAAAAGCACTAACAATTTTTAGACCAGAAAGTCATTAAAATTGAATACCTATCCCCAGCTCTGTTTTTCATTCTGGTTGCCCCTCTGTACACAATCAAGCAGATATTTCAGTTGTTAAAAATTTTAAGTGCTTATTTACTGACGTTTGCAAAGTGTGCTGAGGTTTGACATCACTGCTTTACATCTAAAGCATAAATTTAAGGTTCCTCCCTACCCCATTTTATTCATATTCTAGTTAGTTCCTCGAAAAAAGCAGGGAGACAGCTCAACTCCCACCTCAGTTTCTCCTGGCTTTTTATGCAGATTTATAAACTGGAGATTTAATTACCTGAGAATATCAGATCTTGGGTCAGCAAACTGTACAAAGCAGTAATTATACAATGAACTAGCAACCTCTTTTTTCAGTGCTTTTACAGCAGCTTTGTGAATGCCTCAGGCACTGGACTGAGTCTGTGCTGCACACAGCAGTGCCACAGCTGGAAAACAGGAAGCTGGAAGCTAACATAAGTTACTGGTGAAACAAAAAAACAAGCCTCGAGTTTGAAGGCTCAAGTTTCTCAAAGGAATGACCCTCCACTTGGGAATTCAAGTATTTCTTCAGCTGCACAAGCCACTGCCACCCACACGGTGCCTCCAGGAAACACCTCAGAGTGTCCCACAGCGTGTGCTGCTCACACAGCCCAGCGGGGGAGGTGCAGCCTTGCTCAGTGAGCAGGGACACGGAAAAGCACTGGGACACAGGGAACACAGCTCCAGGAACAGCCCGAGGGCAGCCCAGGTACCTCTGAGCGTGCGCTCTGCCTCGATCACCGCGTCCAGGGGCGGCGGCTCGATGGCCTTGGCCAGGAACTGCCCGATGCCGCCCAGCCGCAGCAGTTTGATGCTCAGAGCGATCTCGTGGAGTGGCGTCCGGAACATTTCGGGTGTCATGTGAGTCTGCAGTCTGGGATGAGAAGAGAACAAAGAAGGGCACGTTTCTCTGAGCACAGGCTTTGATCACCACGAGGGGTCATTGCACCAGCACAAACTACTCCCCTCCAAAGGCCCCGAGCCAACCCACGGCTCTCTCTGTGCTCCTGGAGCCTGGGCCCTTCTAGGAAATTCCATGCTTCTCCATTCTCCTCTGGGCTAAATCTGCACTGGGAATGCACACAGGGTGTAGCCCTCACATCCCCACTGCCCGCTGTGGCTTCTACCACGAGCTGACCACACGGAGCCTGCATGGCTGGAGCCCCATTCCCAGCATGGCTGTGTCCAGCCCTATACATCCCTTACCATCATCTCCTCTTCCACTCCTGAGAGACAACCTGCTTACAGCCCTTTTGTACAAGCACTTCTCTACCTGTCCCATCAACTCCAAACTACCCACTCCTCCTGCACACTCTTCTCTGATCACTAAAAAGATTAAGTATTTCTGCTGGATGTTTTCCAAAGGTAATTTTTTGGTAGGAAAGAAGACCTGATGGAAACACACAGAGCTCTCAAGTCTTTAGCATAGTGATCCTTTGTGATCCTTCAGCTTGCTGGTTGAAATATGAAGTCCAGGGAATGACTGCACTCAGCAACAGGCAGCTAAAAAAGGTTTCAAACACCTTGAACAGATATCCAGGTTCAGCTGGCACCAGATTTAGACGGTATCTCTCAAAAGATTATCTTCACAAGTCCACAAACCCTTTCCAAGGCACCACGGAACTAGTATATTTTGGGTTTATATTCTTTCAAGGAAGGTAACTTTAAAATCATGAAGTCCCATGATTACTTCAGTAGCCCAAAATCAGGTCCCTGTCAAAAATTGTTAATTAAAATCATTCCACTGTACTCGACAGCAGATCTAAATAAATTTGAGCAATTCAAGGAGAGCTTTTGATCAACTGATGCTTTCTGAGGTTACAAAAAGTTGAACATCAAAACAGTTATGCTCTAACAGCCAGAGAAAGGGGCACTGGAACTTTCATGAAGGAGATCAAACATAGAGTGTAACAGCTGTGTAGACTTTTCCAACCAGCAAAGAGATTTCCATGGCTCTAGTAACGGAGAAACAGCTTGGCAGAGAGAAGAGGTCAAAAGTTTCAGCTGCAGAGAAGGTGCTAGCGGAGCATGAAGGGGCTTCCTGACCATGGAAGGGGATGCAGAGAAAAGCAACATCTGCTTTCCCTGCTTTTTGCCACTTCCATGACAGAATTGAGTGTTATGTGGAGAGGCCAAGTGCCCTCAATGTTTGCAGGCAGACTAGAGCCTCATCCTCACTACAAAGCTCTTTTCTGCCTTGCCTCAATTCCCAAGCAGTATTATTTTTCCCCTGAGAGGTTCTGTAGGTTGCAGTGAAGCTCTTACTGGTAAAATCATCAGCTACTTATCCACCTCATACTATGGGTGAAAGCATTTCAAATAGGTACATTTTTTAGCCAAAGAACTGTGATATTTCAGTGTGAGTTGACATCACACATCTCTCTGTGCCTTCTGCAGTGATTTCCCCAGTGTGACCAGAGCAGCACACAGCAGTCTGGGGGTATTTTGTCCCTGCAGAGCACGGCCTCACCTCTCAAAGCGAGCTCTGCTGCACAGGTGGAAGCAGAACCCGGCCCGCACACGCCCAGCTCTGCCTTTGCGTTGCTCCAGGTTGGTTTTGGATGCCCAGACCGTGGCATAGTTTGTCATGTTGTTGTGAGCCGTGAACAGCTTCACTTTTTGCCTGTTCCAGGGGGAAAAAAACCACTTAAGATCAGAAGTTCTTCACCTTATGTCCTGCCAAATCAGTTCTTATTTCATTGCTTGAAGTCACATTGCTTAAGAAGCCAGCCACCCTGTCTGAGTAGCTGAGCTTTGGTTAGTTAGGCATGGATCTGGAAGCTAAAGCATCATTCTTTATAAAGCAATGCCCCAAGCCATACACAGAATGATGTTCTCACAACTGCCTCAAAAGCTTAAAATTATCTTAAAATCATGAGCTCCCCGGGTGCACTTTGCTCAGAGAACATGCCCAGCAAAGCAGGATCTGTAGGAGACTACAAAAATCTTCCCTCTTTTCCATCAGACAGACACTGAGAGTTTGTAACACTCATCTGGCAGATGGCATCCATCAAATTGGCATGGAGACCCATTGACACCTCATATGAATAGTGCCAGCTTGACCAACCCAGCCCACTGAGATGCCAGCGTGGTGTGTCACTGTGCTGACCGGCTGAAGACAATGCTAATTTGTCCTGAGTTAGAGTCCTCAAGCTCAGCTCTGGGAGCATGGGAACACAAAGCACCTCTGTGTGCTCCCAGAACGTTTTCTGCATTCCCAGGGATAGCATTTACAAAACAAAAAGCTGCTTCATGAACTCACTTGCAGGAGTCGATAACAAAGACCACGTCGTTGATGGTAATGCTGGTCTCTGCGATGCTGGTGGATAAAATAACCTGTAAAAACCAGGAATTGCAAAGTGACGTTATTGGTCTGGAATAGCTGAGGATGAACAGCACAATAAACTACAGAACTTAAATAAAAAATTCAGCAATACATTCCCCAAAAGCCCAGAGCTGCACCCAGAGAAGGCTCCCTTACTTTGGTCACTCCAGAAGGCACGGGATCAAACACTCGACGTTGTTCTTCCAGAGGAATTTGGGAATGCAGAGGCAAAATCCTGTACTGGTGGCCTCCTACAACAGGAATACAAGAAGGTTGGTAACTACTACTGTGTGACTCTCATTTCTTCTTTGCACAACATAAAAATTTCTGCTCATTCACTTCCACAACAAATTAGCTCCGGAAGCCTCTCATCCAACCCCCATCCTCGCACAGCCAATAGTTTCCTTCGGAAAAGATGAAATATAATAAAACAGCTGCTTATACCAAAGTGTGGGTTCATTTCTAGATGCTTCTGCATTGTATAGATCAAATTCCAGCCAGGCAAGAAAACAAGGACAGCTCCTGGAACATTCAGAGTCTTGATATAAATCAGCAGGGCCTCAATGAGCTCAAAAGAGGTTTCTCTCTCGTTCAGCTGAGCCATGGAGTGCTTTGTTTCCGGGCCATATTCATCACTGCAAATAAGGTTGCAATTGGCCTACCAAAAAAAAAAAAATCATATAAATTTATTTACTCAAACTATAGAGAGTGGCTGACCAGATATGTGGGTAGTTGTCTCTCAAGAAAAACTGGCCATCTTTTAAAAATTTCAAATGACTGGCCTAAACAGAAGTTTCAAATCTACAAATTAAAAGCTATAGAAGTGACAGTTTCTTGACAATGTATGTGAGTACTGACAATATCAGCTGCAAGCAAAGAAGGGAAAGAATCTAAATTTTCACCCTGAAAAGTTATCAACAAGCTCATGCTTCCCTGTTTCTTCTTCCAAGGTCACCAATCTTTTCATTTTCAAAAGCATTTCAGTCCTAGCTCTAAAGAGAAGTAGATTGACAAAACATGAGAACTTTGGCTTCAGTGAAAAAGAAATTCTTCAGTTTAGAAGGGCAATGGGAAAACTAAGTTGTATTGCTGAATTTAACAGCAATCTCAGAGATTAAAAATAGGAAAGCTGCTACAAGTGTTTTAGTTCAACAATGCCACATGAATTACACTTGAGTTAGAGCCCTAAAACTAGCACTTGTTCAATTTTTCATATGGAAAAAGGTCAAACATACGTCATCATCTTCACCACTTTCTTCATCCTTCTCTTTCTTCTTCTTCTCCTTTGGTGGAGGAACAAACTGAGTCATTTGAATACAATCTTCCAGAAAATAATCTGCAAGGACAGACAGGTGATCAGGACTGACTGCCAGAAACCTGTGTAATAATTCTTCTCATCATCTCTCCAGAGTCTCCTGATGTAACTGGGATGTTTCAAGAGTATGAACAAAACAAAAAGTAAAGCAGTTGCTGGAGGTCAACCAATGGTTTACCTTGGACAGGAAAGGTTCTGCCGTAGACCTCGATGATGGGACAGTTGAAGAAGTATTCACAGAACATACTGGTGTCAATGGTGGCAGACATGAGGACAACCCTGATTTCAGGGTAGGCCTGAATGACATCCCTCAGCACCACCAAAAGGAAGTCAGTCTGCACACAAGGAGAATAAAAGAGTCATGAACTTGCTACTCATAAAAAGCAATATCTTCCCAAGAGACCAGAAGGAACTACATAGACATACACATTTACTGAACAGGAGTTTTACTGGACAAGAGAAGTAACAAGTAGCATAAAAACATTCTGTAACCAGAAACTGTTGTCAGTGCCTTATTTTGAAATTACTGCAATTCCTGGGATAAGTGAATTTTAGGATTTCCAGTGTAAAGAAGGTAGTCTAAAAGTAGTCTGCTTCCTTCCTGACAATACATTACAGCCTCAGATCTTTATAAACTTGGTTTACACATAAAGTAGCCACAGTTCATAAACAAATAAAAATGTGCAGGTGTATGTGAAGTTTATAGTTCTGTTTAAACATGACATTTATTTAGTTTTGCCATGCAGTTAGGCAGGCCCTTAGTTCCAAAGGTATAATTCCTATTTCAGTCAAAATTTCAAAACTTGTATTTTACATCATTAACATAAAATTAATTGATGAAGAGAAAAATGTGTGTTGCAATTCCACCCAAAGGAGACCCCAAATTCTGTCCAAACAAGCTTAAATATCCTGTCAGAACTTTGTGCTTGCTCTCACTCTCATTGTGGCAAGGCTGAAAATGATACAGAATAATCAAGGGGACAGAAAATGGTTCCCATTTCTTAAATGACATTCAATCCCTCCCCTACTTCTACTGCAGGGTCTGTAAAATATCACCAGTAACACGACACTGTCAGTAGGAACAGAACTGCAGAGTAACAGTGCCATTCAGTGTGCTCCCCTGTTTGGACAAGATGTGCTTGTGCCGTGGTGTTCTGTTCTCCAGAGGGGACCAGGACATTGGAGATGCTAACAGGCAAAAAGAGGGCAGCAAGGAAGCACAAGTCCTTGCTCTGCTAATCAGGTAAGGAATAATTAAGAGCTTCTAAAAACATTATTGAGGATGGAAAACTGACATATATGTCCCTTAGTAAGACACAGTTTGCTCTCACACGTTGGCTACTACACACAAACACATCCACAAGTTAAACAGTAGCACAGAGAGATCAGGACTGCAGTCAGCAGCTCACTCACATTAATGTCTCTCTCATGGATCTCATCAACAATAACGTGGCTAATGCCACGGATCCCAGTCTCCACCTTTCTCAGAAGAACACCTGAAAAAGCCACAGCAGGTAAATGTTCCTGTAACAGAGCAATCTTCCCCCTCTCAGCCCCTGGTTTAAAAACCAGGAAGTGTGCAGGCTGCCCAGCCCCTTTTCCAAGCCATCTCTAATTGCCAGGCCTTCCTCTGTACAAGTGACAGCAAGGGCATGAAGCATTACCACCTGAAAGACTCTTTCACCCTTCCCACCCAATGCTGCCTCCCCTTCTGTCTTTTAAGAACAATTATATGGCAATTTTAGCTCCTCATGGGATAACTTCTGTGTGCTACCAGACCTGTATTACCAGACTTCTGAACAACAGCCTTAATTTTTCTCTGCACAACAGCACATCAGCAAACTTGTACCCAGAAAAACCCTTTTCAATCCCTGAAACAGGCATCGTACAAATTTTAACCGAACCACACCCCTGCTTTTGCTGCTAACTGAGAGTGTGGACCCATAAGGAATGAGCTGCAGAGGTAACAAAGCAGTACAGACCCACGGTGCAGAACATGATGCTGGCGTGGGGCCGAGGGAGCACGGACTCGAAGCGCACGCTGTACCCGCAGCTCTGCCCCGGCTCCTCTCCCCGCTCGTAGGACACGCGCTCTGCCACCGACACCGCGCTGATCCGCCGGGGCTGGGGGGAAAGGGTGTCCTGACTTAATGATCAGCTTACAGAACTTTATCACAACAGCACTGAAAGCAAGGAAATAAATTGGAAGTGCTACAGGTGTCCTGCCCTCAGATTTCTTCACGGAGTAATCATTAAACACCAGTGCGTGTAACGACATGTTTTTTTCTTCTGAAATGGTTAATTCTACATATGAAATCACAGGGCAGGGATATGAGGATACATGGGAACTACCAGCTGGCATTTGCCAAATCTTTTCCCCTCGGTCTGACGAAAAGTTTTCGCCTGGGCAAGGTACAAGCCAGATTATCCAAATTGAAGATCCATGAAAGAACAGGACTCCAAATGAAGACATACATAGTGCTGAGGTTTCTCCTACTTGTATTACTGAGGAGAAACCTTTATGAACGATGTCCTGCAATGATAATCAGCTTCTTCAGCACATCCTTCAATCATTTAAGGCCAGGCTGGACAGGGCTTGGAGCAACCTGGGATAGTGGAAGGTGTCCTGGCCCATGGCAGAGGTTGGAATGAGATGAGCTTTACGATCCCCTCCCACCCAAAGCATCCTGTGATTCTGTCCTAACTGACCTGTGATTTCTCATATCCACCCCAGAAGTGCACTGGTCACACATCCCCACCTGTGTCACCACGATGTTGCACTCGGCAGCCCGGCCGGTTCTGATGTGTTCATCCAGGATGTACTGGGGCACTTGGGTGGTTTTGCCACAACCAGTGGCACCACGGATGACAACAACAGAGTTCTGACGGACTGTATCCAGAATTTCACTCTCAAAATTCTTCAGAGGTAAGGCCTCTCTCTCTTCTTGAATCTGGAAAAAAAACCCCAGCACATTTCCAAAATCTCCAAAAATCAACCTGTTCTGCTCCACATCCATACCCTGTCTCCCTTTTCTACACTTTTCCCTTATACAAAGGAAAAACTGTGGAAGAACAGATAACAGTTTGTATTTTTTCCTGACACAGCACAACACATTCCCACACCCCTCCCAGTGGAACATCCAATCCTTCTGAAAATGTGTATTTCTGCTGAAATCCAGCCTTACACGCTTCATAGACATTATGTTCAACCCCTTCTGGAAGAAAAAGAGACTAGTGCAAGCACAGCATGTCACAGGAAGCACACTTACCCTCTGTAATTCCTGATCCTGCTCCAGACGGTACATGAAATCACTTTTCAGATCCATGCTTATTTGCTCTGGAGTGAGCTGTAAGTACAAGACATTGTTTGGAGGCTTTTTGACTCCTTATCTACATCCTAACTTCAATATCAAATCAGGCACTCCAACATAATCATCCCAAATGTCATCATTTCCTACATAACTCCCTGAAATCAGTTACACCGATGAGCTATTTAATGTCATTCATTCCAGCATATTAAAATTAAACATTCATCCTCAAAGAAGTTCCTCAAAAAGATCCAAAACACTGAAAAAGAACAATTGCTTAAATTGAAACACTTTAACTGCTTGAAAAACACACTCTAGTCAGCAGGAAGCCAATGAGATGATCATTGAGACAGGAGTTTTTAATGTAAGAAATGAACTAATGTAAGCACAAAACCACCCACAGAACAGCAGCTGAAAAGGGAGAAGTGAACAGAGAGGGAAATTCATAAGGCAACTCCTGTATTTTAACTACCAAAGAATTGCAAAGAAATTCAGATTTGTTACCAAAGGGCAAATTGCTTTTGCTGCAAATAAGTTTGTGCACCACGACTAGCACTGATGAGATTTGAAGTCAGCTCAATTTGCAATGTCCACACATATCCTGCTTATGTGTTTAAAACAACAACACCCAAATCTACATCCACTCCATATTTTTTAGAAGTCAATACATAATGATCAATGTTAAACTGAAGTCATTTATCGAGTGAAAGAAAGTATTAAATTACTGGTTTGGCCATATGCACTCAGATTCTCTGTTGTAGGAAACTCAAGTTCGTGCCCTGAGAGTCTTTTCTTACCAGGTTATACCAGCCAGACCAAATTACCCTCTGAATTTGACAACCCAGTAATTTTCCCCTTCTCCCTCATTCTACCATGCCACATTGTTGCTTTTCATTTGTTCCGTGCTGAATGGGACTAGAAATAACAAAAAATAGGAAATTTGGCTGATTGTGTAATGACACTTGGCATGAAGCTGTTTCTTCTCCCAGAAAAAAGTCCTAGCATGGAAACATGGGAAAGAGAAGCTAAGGAATTATAAATGACATGTCCGTGATCTTACCTTGTAATTTCAATTATAAGCTTTGTATGGGCTGCAGAGTGGGAAGTAAAAAGTGAAACAAAGCAGAGAATTGGGACACTCAAGACACTGCTGCTCAGTACTTAGTGAAACACAAAGTAAACACAAAAAATTCCCTGCCTCCAGGTCAAAAAGGGAAGAAATTTTATCAGTGGACTGTTTTCTCCTTTGGAATAGCTTATACTTTAAATCCTGGGGGGAAAAGCATTTAAAAGTTCTGGAAGCACAGGGAAAACAATCAACAAATCAATTTTTTAAGTTAACCTTACATTTGCCAGAGGACCCTCATCAATATTGCAGCCAGTCCAAGGGTTCCAGTTGGAATGAGGTGGTGACCAGGGAACAACTCCTGTGTGACTTTGTCTCCGTGATGGCTCAAATTGGGCCAACTTTCCGACGTTGATCAGAACTGGATTACTGGGATCTTCAGGCTATAATTCCAAAAGCAGAGAGGGCAAAGACAGGTGAATGCATTAAACAAGCAGGTGTGATGTTACACACTGGAGTACCTCAGCCACACACTCACCGAAGGCACGATCTCCAGGGACAGCTCCCGGACAGTCTTTTGCAGCTGATTTTCTAAGTCAGGAGACAGTGACACCTCATAGGGTTCCAGCTAGGAAATATTGAAAAACTACACGTCAATATACACAAAAAGACAGACTGTGGGAGCCAGAACTGTAGGCTGAACCATCAAACAGGGTCAAAAAGTATCATCAGTTCAAAATTCACATTCTTGAAATGTTTTGGTGACTTTTCATCAAATAAGAATCTGTAGATTATTTTCAAATATTTGAATTTCATTTCAGAGGAACACATTCTCAAAGTTGCTACCAAACACCTAAATAATACATATTATTTGGTGTGTGCGTATATATATATATAGAGAGAAATTTGAATACTCAGCAAATGCTCCTGTGTCAGAGAATGAATCCAAACAGCTGTGCATAAACAGAAATACTTAAGCTTGTAGAAATATTTTACTGAAAAAAGCGTTTGTTACAAATACTTTTGCATTTAAAATTAGTTACTGCTCCATTCGCATACCCATGAAGTTATATTTCTGATCCAAATCACTGGCCAGAACAGAAACAGCTACTAAATTAAAGAAACAAAATCGATAACTTGTAAGATGCTAAATATGGAGAGCAGACTCTAACTCACTCGTGTTTATGGCAGTGCTTCTGTGTCACGAAAGGAAAGCAGGAATTCCGGCCCCTCCTCCCAAACTCACCGACTCTCCTTTCTTCTTTGTCTGCCCAGAGTAAGGCTCGATGACCCCGAGGTGGTAGAGCTGCCTAACCAGGGAGAGGGCACAGGACTGTGCTGCCAGCTTTTTGTTGGACCCGTGCTCACGGCTGAAGATCCCTGTGGCACACAGAAGTCAGAGCTGCAGGAGCCCATCAGAGCTTCCACAGAAGATACTACTCTGAAACAAACTCTCTGTACACACAGGGAAGTTTCAAATCTTGATAAATCCAGAGTTTCAACCTAAAATCCAACAGCCCCCTCCAGCAGCTGCCTCACACTGGCTGTGTGATGCTACTTACTGACAAGTCCCGTGAAGTCTTCCCGCACTCAGTGTGCATGATTATCCAACACCACCCAGTAGCATCACACAGAGGATCCCTCACCTCTGGAAGTGGCTCCAACACGTAACTATGATAAAGTCTGTACCCATAAACATTCCTCCGGACCAACACCTGCCTCTTGGTAAGTTAAAAACTAAATAGGAACACTTACTTCTGCCCAGCTGCTTCACATAAATGGTCATTTCTGCATTAAAGCTCCTGCAAGAGAAACAACACAAAGGTACAATTACCAATAGCTGACACTGCAAACATATTCACTCTTTCCAATATTTCTAGGCAAAGACACCTCTGTCCTCGGTTAGAAATTGTCAACTCATCAGTGACCAAGGTAAAATATTACTGCTTTTAGTCCCTTTAACCCCAAATTAGTCTGTAACACACCTGCCATCAATAGAACCAGGAGATTTGATAAGAAGAATCCCGCAAATGCCACTGTTCAGCATTGAAATTTAAAGCCTTATTATTAGGAAATATGTTCTGAGCTGTCCAAGTTTAAGGAAACAATTATAAAGCAGGTAGGACGTTAATGTAACATTAATGTGCACCCTACTGTACCATTAACTGTATCCCACATTAGTGATTAGATGATCTAATCACACGATTATTAGATTAGATCTAATCACTAATCACACTAGTGATTAGATACTAGTATAACACTAGTAACTCACTAGTAACCTGTGTTTCACAACTCAGATGCACCATTTGATACAGCTACTCTGCTTTTTACCACATGATTGGCCAGCCCAGAGCACAGCCAAAACCAAACCAGGTCATTCAGTCACAGACCACAGAACTTATCTGCACAGGAGGAGACAGAGTACTTGAATTTGCATGAATTTCCATTCCCTTGTTGCCATAATCTGGGAACAGCAGAGCAACTTGTTACTGAGCAACTTCCTGAGCAACTTGTTACTCGAGTAACAGAGTTCCTCAAGGTAACTCTGCGTAGCAAACCTAATAGTTTGCTTAGCAGGCATGGGACCAGTTTGTTTAAAGGTCAACTGGTATACTGATCACAGAATCATAGGATCATGGAATAGTTTGGGTGGGATGAGACCTTAAAGCTCATCCAATCCCACCCCCAGCCACAGGCAGGGACACCTTCCACTAGCCCAGGTTGCTCCAAGCCCCATCCAACCTGGCCTTGGACACTTGCAGGGATGGGGCAGCCACAGCTTCTCTGGGCAACCTGTACCAGGGCCTCACCAGCCTCTGAGTAAAGAATTTAGGCTTAAAGAAAAACATAATCTTCAACAAAGGAGGATGGAAACCAGATTCGTGTTTTTAAGAACCCCAGACCTAAGCTTGTGTTTGCCAGATGAAAAATTAAAGCCAAATTCTTGTAAGACGGGATTTAACCCGGCAAACGTGACTCAAGACATGGAACTGGGCTTTATTGGACTGAGATCCTCTTTGGAAACTAAGCCTTGGCACTTGCCCAGCTGCAGGCAGAGCCTTGCACCCGTGTCCTTCATTTCTTGCTGCAAACAACCAATACGAAAGGTTAAGTGAGTGATTTAAATTTCAGGTTAGAGCTCCTTCCTGTACTACCAGCGAACTGACCTTCAGGCACAGTGGCTTCAGGGGTCGAAGGCCACTGGCTCTCAGGGACACAACGGCCACCTAAGACACCGATGACAGTATGTTTCTCAGCCAGGCCTACAGTCAGCATTCAATCTCATTCTCCTCCACCTGAGGGGAGAACAGCAACACCAGAAATCAGTTTGCAGCAGAGTCCCACGTGATTCCCTAGTCCAGCCATGTGAGCGTGCACAGATCTGTGGTGTCACTCTCCAGCAGGAACAGGAGGAGGCAAAGGCATCCCATGCTTCTGATGGAATCCCAACATGGAGGAGCCACATCCCACCCCTTAACGTTGTGTTCTTGCTTTGTGTTTTAGGAGAGCCATGTTTAGATTTACAACACATACCCTCCTGACATTATTAAAGTTTCTGAATCCAAATTTCCCAGTTATTACTAAGTTCTTAGACCATGAATGTGATTAACTGACCACAAATGTCTGAGAGCAAGGCTGACAGATCTCTTATAATTCTTTTATAATTAACATCTCTGATCATTACTCAAAAAGCCCAAAAACGGACTGGCAGGATGCATGGCAACTGGTATTTCTTAAAAAAAAAAACCTACCTAAGCTATATAACCGTCCTCAAAACTCCAAAACATCTGAAGTTATCCCCCTCCTGTTGCACACACCGAAAAGGATTGACTCCAACAGTTTGCTCTCTCTTAACAAGCCCTAGAACACATTAGGATTGCTAATTAGATGTTACAGCAGGCAGTGAATTCCCCCTTCTGCCATTCCATTCAGGGAAACTCACACAACCTTCCCTGGATAAACAGTAAACAGAAAACTCTGAAATGCCCTCTGGAAGAACAATAGCCAGGCTGAGAAACATACTGTCATCTGTAGTCATCTCATTCTGCTCCAGACTATCTACATTAAAATACACAGGCTTTCATGCCTTTACCTGCACAACGTGCAACAAAACGAGCTGCACAAAAATTCCCTAAGCTACAGGAGAAAAGAAATGCTCAGAAACTAAGCCTACAACAAGCATATTTTAAATTCCTAGCACTGCACAAACTTAACTTTTTTTGTCACTCACATTTAAGGGAAAGATATGGCCTTGTCTGAGAGATATAAATGGAGATGAAGTGACTTGAAGACAAGTTTTAAATGAGGATTTACAGCTTTCTGCACTGATACAAACATTTTAGATATTCTAAATGCTTGGAAGTCTCAACAAAAGAATACCAGAAGTCCTGCAAGTGAGACTCTCATGAAAGGCTGTAATAAGAAAATTCTCTTGTCTTTCTAAAAACATCAACTCTCATAGAACACAAGTTTACACAATGCAAAAAACCCAACCTCGAACCCAGCCAGGAGAATCCAGCAGCAGCAGCAGCGTGCCATTGTTTCTGGTCACAAAGCATTACCATATTTCACCAGAAATACAATGTCCTGAAGTTTTGATGATTTGTAGAGATTGTTTCCAGGGGTAAAGTAATAAAACCCATCAATTCTTTATGCACAATCTGCTATGAGTTATTTCCATTTGGGGAAACACATGCAAATTCTCTGATGGAATGGGCTGAAAGTCAAGAAAGAGTAATATCCAGCTGGTCTCAAGTGAAACCCTCAAAACGCCTTTGGGAAGATTCTGCCAAACTAATTTTTCCAGTAGAAGATTCCAGTGTCAAAAAAGTTAACTGTAATACAAAGAGAAATAAAATATCCTTAAAGCTCATTTCTACATAAGCAAATTTAGGGATGTTGTTGGTCCTGGCTAAGAACACTGTGGAGCACTAAAAATAAGTGTGAACAGCCACTGTCACCAAAGCCTTTGTACACAGACAGTGACTAAAACTACCAAACCTGTTGTGATCAGGCCCCATTTCAGTGTATTTATATTCTTCCTGGATCTTCTCCTTTTGGAAAAACTGGTTCAGACGTGCCTTGGCATTTTCCAAGGTCCAACCCCCGTGAAGGTCAGCATTTAAGTCCGCTTCTGACTCTGAGGTCTAATACGGAAAAGAAGAGTATCATTTACTAGTTTTAAACATTCTTACAACAAGTCTTTCAAATAACTCACCCAGATTCTATAAAATAATTGAGGCATTACAGAAAATGCTAGAGAGTCCTCAGTAATTCCTTATTTTCACAACAAAATGTCTGTACAAACACTTAATGTTCACAGTATCCAGAGTGATTTATTTTGTTCCTAGTTTAAGCAAATTACCTTTGTTAGAAGCCAGTGAGTAAATCTGCAGCTTAAGCTAAAATCAACAGCAAAATATCAAATGAAAACTCCAAGTTTGATTACAAATGCAAATAACAAATTAAAGGGGGTGAAACAGATACCTGTTTAAGAATTGAAGGAGAATTCCATAGTACGACTTACCTCCTGACCTTCTTGCTCCTCTTTCCTTGAATAATAATCTTGCAAATTCGCACCCCGATCCCACTGAGCTCCATGACTGCCACAGTTTCCAGGTGCTGCACCTGGGCTATTGCCTATCATGTGGACAAAACCAAAAATAAAATAATCCCCCCAAAACATGTTCTCAGCAATGGAGAGGCATTTCCTGGCAATCTCACAGGCCATGACCAGTCTCTCAGATCTCACAGTCATTCACACCTCTGCCCCAAAACTATGTCTGCAGAGTATTTGGGAGAAAAATCACCACCCAAATACATCCAAATACACACAAATTACAGTTTTCAGCCTTACCTACTTCACTTTTTAAAAGCAAATGTGGAGGAAGGGGTCCTCCCAGAGCTGAACTGGAACCAGTGACATCTCTAGCTGCTTCCTGTGCTCCATCGGGGGTGTCACCTGGGGCTGGCTAGAGAAGGGAAGGAAGGAAAACCTCACCACACTGGTACAGAATAAGTTTTATTGTTCAGCTCAAAACTGGTCAGGCAGTTTAAAGAGCTCAGGCAACATTACACAGTAGTTATCATCCCCAGTAAATATGCAATAGTTACTACCCAGTAGCAACCTCAACAGTAACACCCTTTAAAAACTGAAAGGAACACAACTATGGGTATTTGAACACTGAATTGCCATGAACTAACTGGCACATCAAAACCCAAATATCAGTTCTGTTCCCACTCTGGGTTTCACCCAGGCTAAAGAGGCAAGAAAGCTGAGAAAATGGAATTATTCTCTTCCTTCCCAACAGATAACACATAACTTCATGCTTTATTTACTTTATTTTTTTCTCTGAAATTGTTGCAATGACAGAGTTACCCTCCTCCTCAGCCTTTATGTGCTAGTCATTGCTGATGGTTCATGCAACATCATAAAAAGCAGAGATCCTGTCACATACCTGAGGAGCTGTGGCTGCAAGCAGTTATGGTTTAAAAAAATGCCAAATTTTCAATGTCTGGTTTGAGGTATCTGTGATTATTATTTTTTTGTTGCAATTTTTTTTTAAGTACACAGGATTGTGCATATATATCTATTATAATATGTATCTCCAAATCTTAGTTCGCAAAGCCTAGCCATGATAATATGTATCTAAAACAATTCCAGTGTCAGGTGTGAGTACTCAGCACTTTTAAAGTCAGGCTGCACCTCACAGGGACTCTGAGTTCTTTCCAGCCTCATCAGCTTTGCAGCTTAACCCGCAGCAGTATGGACCAGATCATCCCACAACATTCAGTTGGACTCGACAGTCTTAAGGATCTTTTCTACCCTGATATTCTGCATGTATCCCAGCTTTCCAGCACTGCAAGCACAAGTCCCTCACACTCAATCCTCATCGTTGTACAGGGGACTGAACTCCTGAGTGAAAGATAACTGGGAGCATCCCATTGCCAAGAAAGGTCAGGCTTTGGCAAGGAGAAAGAGCAGCTTACTCCAAAAGCAGGGACTTCATCCTTCTTCATCTTGTTCACCCGCACCAGGTAGTTGATGAAGTCTCGGGCAGCGTTGCTCTGTGCGTCCTTCTTGTTGGTGGAGTTGCCCATGCCCACGTAGTTGAACCCTTCCACTCGGACCTGCAGGGAACAACACACAGCTGGGTGGGTGAGAGGGGCCTGCAAACCAGCAGCACTGGCTGAAACACCAAAGTCTGCTTGCTCATAAATACAGCAGAAATAATGTCGCTAAGTGTTGTTATGTATCACTAGACACAGCCATATATTTCTGCAGGGTTTGACTGTATTCTTTGTGCCTACTAAAGAGACTCCCACATTCTGAAAACCTCCATTCTCAGAGCACAAGTGCTTCCCAAAACCTCGTGGAAGAAGATGAATCAATGTAGGAAGGGACCCTGGCAACACACAGCAGCAAACCCTGCCCAGGATCACCTTCTTCAACCATAATCCCAAACCCTTGGACAACTAGGACAGGAGTGAGCCAGTGTTCCCTCAAGCTTAGCTTCACATTCTTGCAGATAAAAACACGTGATTAATTTGTGATTTTTTTACTTTAGAGCAGCAATTCTATGTCCTGGACAATGATACCTCCAACCAACCAATAACTGTACTGGATTCACAGCCAGACTGTGGAAATCAGTAAGAAAGAATGTTTTCATGAGACTGACCCTTTCACCTGTTAAGTTTCCATGGATGCTCACAGGGTATCACCATACAAAAACCAGAACAAGAATATACATATATTGTATAATATAGAATATATACATTAGTTTCTTTATATTAGTTTTCACAAGAGTATGGAGAGACAGGCAAGAGGGAATGGATTTAAACTGACAGCAAGTAGGTTTAGCTGGGATATTGGGAAGGAATTCTTGGCTGTGAGGGTGGGGAGACCCTGGCACAGGCTGCCCAGAGAAGCTGTGGCTGCTCCATCCCTGAAGTGTCCAAGGCCAGGTTGGACAGGGCTTGGAGCAACCTGGGCTGGTGGAAGGTGTCCCTGCCCATGGCAGGGGGTGGGACTGGATGGGCTTTAATGTCCCTTCCAACCCAAACCATTCTGGGATTCTGTTAATCTAATTGCACATAAACCCACTTCATCTGAGTAATGCTCAATCTCAGTTAAAACACCTTGAAAACTGGTTTAATATCACTGTGCTTCTCAGTTTTGCTATTGACAGGGAAGACAAACAGGAAGGAAGGGTAAAATGACAAATTCAAGGTGTTTAGTGCAAATCCATGGCCCAGCTCAGAAACTGACCCGTCCTGTACACTCACTGCCAGCTCCTCCTCAGAGCCAGCCTGAACTCACAGCTCCCACATCCACACTACCCAGAGCCAGGAGCAGAGTACTGTTACAGCCTAGCCTAGGAGCCACTCCAGCAGGAATTCTTTGATACGTTTCATCTCAAGTTCAACCGCAGGCCAAACCTCTCTGCAAAAGTGACACACACCTATTTTAAGTGCAAGAAGGACCACACACACGGTGTGCAGACACTCACCACCCTTAAGAAAACCGATTCCTTTTCCCTGTAGCAGCATCCTTCCGGCTGCTTCCCTCCTGCCCCCAGATCCCCGGCAGCGACCCCAGACCCCCTGCTCTGGCCCCAGGTTCGCTCTGGCAGAGCCCCAAGCCTGCACCGGCAGGGTCCCCAGGTCCCTGTCACAGACTCCAGACCCCAGCAGGGCCCCGGGTTCCCCGGCAGAGACCCCACATCCCCCTGGCAGAGCCCAGACCCCCGTCACGGCCCCCAGACCCTCGGCAGGGTCCCCTGTCACGCGCCCCCCGGCAACATCCCCAGACCCCGCCACAGCTCCAGGTCCCTCCCGGTAGCGAGCCCAGACCCCCGGCACGGCGCCCAAGCCCCCGACAACACCCCCAGGACACAGGCAGGGACCCCAGACCCCCGGCGGGGCCTCCCAGACCCTTGGAAGGACACCAGACCCGCTCGGAGCCCCCAGATGCCCGTCGTGGACCACACACCCCCGGCAGGACCACAGAGCCCCCTCAGGGCCCCCGCACAGCCCCTGTGGCCCGAACCCGGCGGGGCAGGCCCGCACCTCGCACAGGAAGGTCTGACGGCCGCGGCCGCCGGCGGCGCGGATCTCGTAGGCTGGCATGACCCTCCGCCTGCCGCACCAGGCGTACAGGTAGTTCTTCACGTCCCCCATGGCCGGGCGGGCCGGGGCGCTCCGTGAGGGTCCGGGGGGCTCCGTGAGGGTCCGGGGGGCTCCGTGAGGGTCCGGGGGGCTCCGCGGTGTCCGGGGCAGCACCGCCCGGCAGCGACGGCGCCTGCGCGGGCCCGGCGGGACGGCGGCCGGGAAGGGCCCGGCGGGGCGGGCACAGCCCCGCCCCTCAGCGGGGAATGGCTGTCCGTGAGGGGCAGAGCCGGGAACAGCGCCCGGGGAGCGCCAGGAGCCTCCCTCGCTGGAGACATCCCAAACCCACCTGATCCAGGTGACCCTGTCCTGGCACGGGGGTTGTACTGGGTGATCTCCAGAAGTCCCTTCCAACCCTAACAGTTCTGGGATTCCCTGTGATTCCATGGAGATGCTCCGAGGGCTGGAGCCCCTCTGCTCTGGAACCAGGCTGAGAATGCTGGGGGAATTCACCTGGAGAACAGAAGGCTCCAGGGAGACCTGAGAGCCCCTACCAGGGCCTAAAGGGGCTCCAGGAGAGCTGGAGAGGGACGTGGGACAAGGGATGGAGGGACAGGACACAGGGAATGGCTTCCCACTGCCAGAGGGCAGGGTTAGATGGGATATTGGGAAGGAATTCCTCCCTGTGAGGGTGGGGAGACCCTGGCACAGGTTGTCCAGAGGAGCTGTGGCTGCCCCTGGATCCCTGGAAGTGTCCAAGGCCAGGTTGGACGGGGCTTGGTGGAAGGACAGTGGAAGGTGTCCCTGCCCGTGGCAGAGGGTGGGACTGGATGGGCTTTAATGTCCCTTCCCACCCAAACCATTCTGTGATTCTGTGATTCTCTGAC